TTTCATGAGAGATAGAATCTTGGGATTGTTTTCTCTCAATTCAGACAGGGAACCTGAAATATCTCTGGCCTGCAGAGATGTTACTGAGAATTATCCAGGAATTTTTAATCCATTGGTGCTTCACATTAAACTATTTCTTATGCTTTCTTGATGTATACTACTCATCCCACAGGTGAGAATTTGGAATATTTCAAGTAACAATGTCCTTTGTAGCTTACTGCTGGTGTTAGCATCCTTCAGGTTGGCCCCTGACTCATCATGGTCCTATATGTTACAGAGTAGAATTGTTCCATAGAGTTTCCTTGGCTGTAATCTTTATGCAAGCAAATCGCCAGGTCTTTCCTCTGTGTTGTCACTGATGCAGTTTGAACCATCAACCTTTTGGTTAGGAGTCAGCTACAAGCCACTTGTGCCACACAGGATCCTTTTTCTTACTAAATACAATATGAGCATCTATTATATAGAGCATGTCTAAAATGAGGTAAAAAATATTACTACTTTTTAGAAATTAGTACTTTATATACTTGTTTATATACTTGTTGAGTTGAGTGAAGACATTGCTAGCAAATATGAATGCTTATAACTTCTTTTCCTGACAGCATTATGTCAGCCCCTACACATGAACTTCTCTTGCATGTGGCAACATATTTGTCTAAAATCTTACAGAATCGCTTTCTTCTTATTAGTCTCTGCTATAAACTAGGGACAGACATTGACCACTGTGCAGAGGGATTTTCATTAAGCAACAGGTTTTTGGATATTGATGAATATAGAGACTCTCTGATTACAGAGCTGGCACTGACATCTATACCTCTGAGGAGGAATTAATGCCATCCCTGAAAGTGTAGCCAACTATTCTCTGTGGGCCATCTTTCATCAACAAGTCTTGTCTTGTTTATTGCAACAAAATTGGCAGAGAATCTCAATAATTTATGGATGACTTATGTGCTTTCATTGCTCTTTCTCTTTATAAAGAACAACTGTTCTTCTCCTGGCTTGGAATCCTGAAGTTTAACTCTGAACTTCCGTGCTAGAGTGTTAAATAATGAATGTTTATGGAAGCACCTAACTCAGTTTGTTTCAATCAAAAGCAATGATCAGTCTCTTACTTTTATGAACTCTTAAGAATTAAAATGTGATCTGGTATCTCAAAAATCTTACTACTTCAATGGTAAATACTTTTAGCCCTGGTCTTCAAATTTGTCAGATTACTTTTTAATCAGTCCATGGATGAAAAATATTGTGTGTGTGTGTGTGTGTGCGCGCATGGCATAGTACCTAAGGCATTTGACTGCTAACCAGATGGCTGGCGATTCAAACCCACCAGCCACTCCTCAGAAGAAAGGTTGGGAAATCTAATACTGTAGTAATACCGCCTTGGAAACCCAAGGAGGAGTCACTATAAGTTGGATCTGACTTGATGGCAGTGAGTTTGGTTTTGGGTATATATAT